TATTTGCATTATTAATAAGATTTCTTCAGCAGAGRGCTGCCAGCTGCAGCTGCACCTGATTCCTCTATCTGTGTGACCTTGTCGGAGTGTGAATAGTCTTTCGCTCGCCTTAAAATCGGTTCGTTTCGTCATTCTATTGAATGAAATATACGAAACGGTATTTGCTTGTTTCAACTAATTTTACGAGCTAATTAAAAATGTACTTGAAATTGTGTATTTTTCTAACCTTCAATGTGACAAACACAACAAGTTGACCGCAATCTACTCGCCATGCTAACAGATTCAGAACAAGCMGCGTAATTAATCAACACTAATGAAGAGAATACAAAGACTAATTTTTTATCTGAAAAAATATTCCCATAAAAAAGATTCAAGTCTTTCGAGGTAGGGCTTTAGATGAAGATGGCGCAGATAGTCATCACTCATCAGCGCTGGCAGTGGTTAAAGGCCTATGTTATGTGCACAGACATTATCTGAAAATCTTTAAAAGATTTAAGAAAGCTCGAGTTTTATTTTTCTCTAACTAATTTATACACGAATCCGGATTTCGATTAGCATTCGAATCTGCGGCTGCCATATTTTAGCATAAAGTTTTTGCAGAGCAGTAATCTACAACAACCACAACTTCACCAGCAAGTACCGAGCAGAAAGCGAAAGAACCAGTCTTTCGSTCGCTTACGACTAAGAAGATGCGCCAAAATTTATCTCAAGCGMGGGACATTTATTTTTTTATTGCTTCTTTCTAGTTTTTTCTATTTTATTTGCATATTTTTACCGAAATGTCTTCAGTCAAACATGTCCGACTGCTTTTTGTTGAAATTTTAAATATTTCAGAATATTAAATTATAGAGACGAGTTTGAGTTTTTTCCATTTTGGGGCTGTGTCGCACCCGGCCGTAGCTTTTTGTGTGTGTGAGCCTGAAGTTAATTTATGTTAATTGATTGTTCTTTGTATTAGCACAGTCAGTGCTTCAATGGATCATTGGCGACCTTGCCGGGCTTACTAACCTTTTATTAAAAAAAAATTAGTTTTGTACAACAACAATACATCTAAATATAAGTATCTCTTCTGCTGTGCTCTGACAAATCTGCATCATTAATTATTTGCTTGAACGAAAGTGAAAGGAATTAGAATATTGATTACTCGCAATTATTGCAATGATGATCAAACCAAATTAAATATTTCATATATTTTATACGGTTAACTGAAACTGGTTGGC